CAAGACTGCTTTCATAGCCTGTAAACTGTTGAAACAGATGCCTTCAGTAAATTAAAGTTCTATATTACATTACCATTTAACGTTTACAAACTCGGTTGACAAGACACATATTATCAATGTAGAGTCTCTCACAGAAGTGCCGGAAGTGCACAGAAGTTGCCACCCTCGACAGATGAAAGTGCATGAGGAGAAAGGGAGAGGAAGAGCTTGAAGATCTGGGTTAGTGAAAATGTTCAAACTTTAGAAGACATCAAACAGTGAAAATACTCGGACAATGATGACCAACTTTGAGCTGTTTGAAAAAGTCTGCAACCACTGAATCCACTTATATCGAAGACATCAATCACGCTATCTACACCTCCTTACATGACTGACACCGATATCTGGAAACTTCAGCAACTGGTATTGGTTACTCTGAGTTCACTTCAGTTAAAATTGCATGTCCATAAAGGCGATAGCTTGACTCGTGCTACACATGTTCAAGGTACCTGAGTCAGATGAATGGTTGTTTGATCTCCTGTTATTGTGAAAAACAACAATCTGAACGAAGAATATTCTCTTCGATAAATTTTCTTTCGGTTCTAAAACTATAAAATGTATTTGTACAGCACAAAAACAAGTCATGTTTGGAGCAAGTGCATTTTCAAAATGGAGCCAGATTTTAGGATTTTAATGGAATCTATTTATATTTAATGTGTTAGTCAATAGTGGGATGATACATATACAGAAGAATGATATGATGGTGAACAAAAAAATAAGGAATAAGATGATACGAGTGGCCTTTACTTTACTGAAGGCTAAGGGAGAAGTAACGCTTGGTTATGTTCTTTCTAAATGAAGAGTTCAGGCTTGATCAATCTTATTGCGACAGACTCTGCTATGTTGAGGAAGCGTTGGTCAGCTGCGGGTGGTATCGTTTTTAGAATACAAGGAATGATACTGAAAGCTCCATTAGCATCTGTTTGATGTACTTTGTCCAATAGATGCATTAGAACTGAACGTTTCACCTTTTTCACTTCATCCTTTCAGAACCAAGCTGGTAAATGCTCTCGCTTCCGGAGACGCACCTGCCTAGTCGTTCGCCCTATGCAGCTAGTTCCACAGAAACAGTTAAATTGTTATTATTGGTGTTGTTTCAGCTGGCCTTTGGGTGAAGTTTTCACTCAACTCAATCGAGTCAATAGTATCACAGTCGCGAGTTAACTAGCAAGTTTGATCACTGAGTCCAGTGAGCAGTTAACTCAGTATCACTATCCCAGTAATTAAGTTAATACAAAAGTTCCAGCAACGCCAGAAGACATAGAGGGAGAGAAAGATAGACAGGTAGATAAACAAACAGACAAAGCATAACACAGTTGTGAGAATAGGCAAAACAGACACATTCGAGAAACTTAGAAAGCTGTCATTACTTTGGCGTTCCAGTCCATAGGTATAAAACAGTAGGAAACTATAATGATCACATGTCAGATTGTTGAAGGAGACTGACAGGAAGTTAAGAAGATGTTTCCAAATTATTGTCAGTTTTCAACAAGACAATCAAAGATGCACAAAATTAGTAATTCTCCTAGAATTAGGTCAGCAATTGAAACCGGGTAATTTGAAATCGGCTACTCTGCAATGACCAACCAATTGGTCTAACAGATACTACTCCAGGTTGAAAACTAGTCCTAATTTAACTATGACTCCCTCATAAGTGTAGTTTTGTCACAAAGCATTAATTGATATCTGTGTAGAAGATTGAAATTCACAGAATGGAATCAGATACAGATTTGGTATAGATAGATAATCGTCAAATGATCTCCTCAGCGGCTCCACAAAACTTGTTCTTCAAATCAATAAAAATATCATATCTTTTTCCTACTACTTTATGTGGTCATCAGGTAAAATTAAGATTAAGCCGTTGTCCATATTCGATCAACGTACTGATCTGATCAAATCACATCAATGACATCGCAAACAATTAGAACCAAATAGGGAGAAGGCAGTAAATTGTGAGATTACAGACTTGATCGTTTGACTTGACAGCTATGTCGTCCACCTACTGGTGACCAACTTGTGTATATAGACCAGTCGTAGAGGAGGTGATTTGGGCCTTAAGTAGCTTGGCAGTTAAGAATCTGAATTCAGCACTGGTCGACACGGGTTCGAACTACTGGCAAGATACTAATTTCTTCTTAGTCATAGACACCCCTTGCTTATGAACACCAAAAAACACGAAACGTAGGTTGAATAAGGCTTCCTGCCATTTGAATTTCCCCATAAGTAACACCATATAAAACTAAATTGAAAAGTTTGGTGTCACATATTAGATGGCATTTTTATGTAGGGATTTTTCTGTAGAGATTTTAGTCCATATTAACAAACTTTTCATTGTTATTCTGATTAGGTGACGACTGACCTGATGTAGAACTGCGTTATGAACGCAAAGTTAAATTAAATGTAATTTGATTTGTTATCTTGTAAATTATTATGAGGTCTGACCTATGAAGTGTTAATTTTAAGTATGTATACTCACAAACTAGGATTTATTCTTTGACCTCCTGTTGTGTCCTCTCGGATCTTACTCCCGTTTGTCGTTCTTTCATATGAATTTTATTTCCGAAAACTACTTTTCTTGAATGACGAAATGAATTTCAGAAATGGTGAAATAAAGCTGATAATAGAGGACTTTAGTGTTTCTTAAAGGGATGATTTACTCTGATGTGTCTCTCAGTAACAAAGAATCGTAACAACCTCATCATCAGCTGCTAAAGTATGACCTCATGTAAGCGGTTATTAAATCATAGAAGATGGATTTAATATCAAAAAAACCTTTATTTTGACGACCTCATATTCAATAGCTTGGCAAGTGTGTTTACATTCTGAAGTGATTTTCATGGCAAGTACTGGGCACTCCCCGCATAATGACTTTTGAAGTCGGTCAACTCCAAATTTGGAGGGATGCTCTTCAACAACATTGAACTCTAGTCACTCTATTTTTCAAATTTATAGAAGTTGGAACTAGTAGACCATAGAATCCAAACTCACTGGCTGAATGGTAACGCACTTATAGTGACATTTGAAGATTACTTGGTCTTTTCATTAAAACAAACTGAAGTCTGTCAAAAGATACTAACATATTCTAGATGATTACTGTGCAGTGAAAGGTTATTCTGAAACCCAAAGAAAAGTGTGTTGCTTGGAAACGGACACAGATATTGTGTAATAATCGTGGAAATGAACCAGTCATTCTAAAGGTATAAGAATGATGAAGTGAGAAAAAAGAAAGCATCTAGTGGAAAGACAGCAAAATAAGTGAGAGAAAAAAACTACTGGCATGGCCATGATCTTACCCAGAGTTATCAAACACAGAGATCATATTGAGGTTGTGATATGCCAATGACTGAATGATGCATAGATGACATAATTGAAGTCCTTCGGAATTTTAGAGAACAGCTCTATAAATTACTATTAAGAAATTAGTTAAAGGGTTCAGATGCTTGGGGATGAGGTATTTTGAGAGAAAATAGATCTATCGATATTCCCTCTGTGTCTTTGGATAGCAAAGCTGAACAATGTCCCACAATAAATTTACACACTTAATGGTGTGTGTGAAGAGCACACTCTACTTTTTGATAGCTAAGAGTATTTTTTCGCAGGTATTTATATTCATTGTTAATATTTATTGTCTTGGGTTCCTAGTGGAAGATAGGGCTTCAGTAGCACGTCACTATTTCACTCGCTTCTCTGCAGTCCCTTGAATCTGGCTTCACGACTCTCCATTACCTTTCGTTTCCTCCTTACACCATCTCCTCCACGTCACAGGTAGTAGGTAGGTAGGTAGATGAAAGAGACAAATTCGCTTAGATTTCTCGTTGATTTCTCCCGTTGATGGTGATTGGCGCTTGTTGTTGTTGTTGTTTGGGTATCTTCAACCTCTACGTTCACTTGAAGCAAGTCTCATCTTCGCTGCCTCGCCTCGCCTCTTCTGCCAACTTGCTGGTTTTCATCTGTAGATCTTTGAGTTTGAGACAGGACATTAAATATGAATCACCTTTGGGGAAATCCAAATGTTCTAGGGTCTTTTCACCGGTCAAACCAGCGTACGCTCATCTTCTCGCTCCTCACGGTTGTTTGTTACATGATCCAGTTCAGTCGAGTCAACCACAGTGAGAAAGATAGTCGAAGATAGTAGGCAGACTTGTTTTAATTCTGTCTCCACTTCAAAGGCATCAGTGAGCTGAGCTTTCCACTGCAAATTACTTGGCATGTAGCATCATATAGTATATATCTGTTGATTGAGGTTGATAAAGGTTTGTGATACTAAAACCGTAGTGTTGAAGCAGCTGCCTGCCAAATTACTTTTCGGTCGACACTATTGAAGGCCTTTTGAAAGTGGATGAAGTGGAGGTGAAGATTCACTTGACTGCCATTCTATGCTCTTTTCTATGATGATGCGTAGCGTAGTGTTGCAATTTGATCCCCACCAAATTTCACTTGTCGTCCACAGTAGATTAGGCGGTCAGAGGTAGATCATCGGAATAGCATACTGTGATGTTGACTATGGTGTTGTATATTATGAAGCAGTATCTCATAAATCAGATCAGCTACCTATTGATTTTCTTGGATCAAACTGAATACAAGATCTCAGACTGTTATTTACAATGTTGAACATCGCTTGTAATCTGAACCGAAAGAGCATGAGAGCAATACCAACTCAAACAAGTGAATGTTTCAGTGATCTAAAATATCGATTTCTACTTACATCATAATTTGTTGTCGTAATACCCGGTAATCATGGATTTGGAATCGTATAGCGACCTGATCTAATCAATAGTTAATCAGGCACTTCATCTCCCTAATTCAGAGCAGGTTGAATTGAGATAAGCAGACAGAGTTACTACTACAACTACGATAAATGGAGAGTTACTGAGGAAAGCCCTCAGTAACTGAAGTGGAGTTTCATTCAGTTGGTAGACTCCCGTGCCACTTAGTGTATGTGTGTGTGTGAAGAAGCCAATAAGAAGACATTTTTATGTTTATATGTATATAAGATCAGAATGTCAAATTATAAAACAGGATTAAGTGAAATCAATAAATATACAGTTACAATTCAATGTGTACTCAATAGATAAAGTTAAAACAACCAAAGAATGCAGAAGATAGGAACTATGAATGAGGTACATACACAAAAGTATTACTTCCTTGAATGATTTGAAACCAGTAATATTGTGTTATTGTTTATTTCATTGGTAAAGTGATTTGCTTTTGAATTTCATCATTTTTTTCTGAATAATTAAAGTTGGCGTTGATTGTTCAACATCTGTAACTGTTGTTGTTGCTGTTGTTGTTATCATTGTAAACCATGAGTTCTTTTGTTGTGGTATAGATGTTTGACTCATCCTTGAAAAGCATGATCCAATTAAATTTGATGTATTCATGATAGATGAATTTATTCCCCGAAAAGTGTAATTTGGATTATTATGATCAGTCGATATTGACATAGATGATGATGATGATGATGATGATGAAGATGACGATGAAGACGACGCTGTTAGAGTTGGACTGTCTACATTTGTAAGTAATGAGCTGTTATTATTGTTATTGTTATGATTAGTAATATTCTCAGCATCAGTTAATGTTCTCATTTCATGAATTAACGATACATTGTTGTGAGTAGTATTTTGACTTATTTCAGTAGTAGGAAGAAATATATTTGATGGATTTGAACTATTATCCCTATTACTGATAGTATAACTATTATTTAGACCAACAGATTCATTTTTCCTTATAATTTCATTTGAATTGTATTCATTAATCGAAAATATTTGTTCATTTGTTAATTTTAAACAATCTTTTCGAAAAAGTTCTTCTTGTTGATCAACATGTACACCATATTGATGTATATCGTGTTCTTGATGCTGTTGTCTAGGTGAATGTTGATAAGATTGGGATTGATGAAGTTGACATGAATCGAAATCATGATGTGAATGAAGTTTACCTGCTATCATAGAATCTGTACTCATCGTTATTATATTGTTTCTACCATGAATGTCATCGTTATCTCGTACTTCGTTTGACAAATGGTTACTAAAAGATAGTTCATTATGATTAGTACTATTATGATTGATTGGTGAGATGAGACAACATGCAGCAGCTGCTGCAGCCATTCGTGCTGAATTCAATACGTCCTTTGTATATATTCCATTCGAGAATGTATGTGATACACAATTAGATTTATTCGATGTAAAATTACCATAATCAAATGTATCGAAAGGATAAACTGATCTAAGACTACCGCTTATGATATTATTGTTACTGTGACCATTGGCAACACTATTGACAACATTAGCATTATGCTCTTCTTGATGATCTGATCGAAAATCAATAAGATTTGATCCTACTCTAGAATTATACAATGGTGATGAACATGAATAAGGTGTATTAAAGTAATTTGGGGGATTTGTTGAATAAGGAAATAAATCTGGTGTAACAGGACTCATTGAATTATTGATTAGTGAACGAGTATTGAAACGTGGACTAAAATCATTCCTCTCATTACTACTATTCGTAGAAACGGTGTTATTATTATTATTATTATTATCACCACTGTTGTTGATTATTGATGATATACTTGCAGTACTACTAATAACATTAGTATTTCTAGACAACTGTGTTGACATTAACAAATTAGAATAAGGCGTTCCAGGATTTGAAGTCAATGTATAGTTTAAATTAGTTTGTGATGATGGATTCATGATACCAAGTCCATGACATACACTTGGTAGTAATAATGAAGATAACATTTGTGAATTTGTATTCATTGTTTCAGAGTTTGGTGAATTCCCACATGTAGGCGGTTGCATAGCTTGTGCGAGACCAGTGAAATCAAATTTATATGCATAACGTTTTCCATTTATCTAAAAATAATCAAATTGAGTGGAGATTGGTTAATAGGAATTTCTAAGACTGTCTTTTGAACCTAGCTAGAACTTGTCAACCGGAAGTACCTGCACCTCAGTGAGGGGTGGTGGTATCGTACAGACTTGAACCTGGTACCCATCACTTCAAACACTAGACTGTATCCTGCTATCTGCGCAGGAAAGTTGACCGAAATTTCCATAGATTAATGAGGAATGTTTCACTTCACCCGAAATGCTAATAAGTCAATCAATAGAGTCTAAACTGTGGTCAACAGGACAGATAAATCACCATCATGGTCACTTTGTTTAAAGTCGATTCATTGGAAGCAGTCACCAAGCAACTTTGGACCAAGACACTATGCTCATAATAATTGCTTAAGATTATATTGTTCGCTCTACATTGATCAACAAATAAATCTCCTCTAATCCTACAGCAAATCGTTCAATGTACAATATTCTGACTGGGGATAGATTCGAACCACAACGTTGAATTTCACAAAAATGCTATCACCACTGATTAGTCACTGCAGAGTAGCCAAGCTCACATTGTTTCGTTCTGAGTAATTGGCAAAATTTATCGGCCACTCTTCATTATGGCCATCAACATAAGAAACTTATCATTGTGGCGTAATTTGGTAGATTTTAGTTGGTTGGACGCAACCAGTGGGAAGCTTAGTAGCGATATTGCAGAATTAGCGATATAATTCAGTCAGTCCTACTGACAAAACAACATGAAATGGGTTACTACTTACTGACGAATCAATGTATCTAATCCAGTCCTACAGGAGGTTAGTCGTAGAGCAAACAACTTCAAGGCCGCTCGCCTCAACTGACTACCTGCAACCAGGTAATATACGTCGTCAGTACGCCGTGACAAATAGATTCACCGCACTGCTACCATTGTCAACGGTGTTGGTCAAAATAATATCAAAACTTAATTTAAAAAGTTACCTGATAAAACTGGTACTCACCTTACTCATAATATTTTTATCATAATAATAACGTAGGGCACGACTTAATTTATCATAGTTCATATTTGGTTTTGATTTTCGTTCACCCCACCGTCTAGCCACTTCATCTGGATCGACCAGTTTAAATTCACCATTTGTACCTTCCCATGTGATACATGCCAAATTCTTTGAATCGGATAGTAATTCCAGTAAAAATTGCCATAATTGAATCTGTCCAGAGCCTGGGTGATTTTTCAGGAAAATATATAAAAAATAAGATTGATAAAGTAATCGGAGAGTGGAGAGAAGTCAACGCAGGTAAAATTTAACTGTTTTTTTTCAATACATTTTAATGCAAATAAGCTTCAAATACCTTAAGTCAGAAATGTCAGTAGGTCAGACAGACAAAATCAACACAGAACCCCGGACACAAACGCGTCAGTTCAAGTTATCATACTTCACAATAGTATACAAGGAACAAGTGGATAGAAAAAGACTGATATCAAAGCATACAAAGGTGTATGAGGAGAGAAGAAATTTAAAAATTGAGGTGTGCCACAACCAGGTAGTCTAGACCTTCCTACATGGCTCAGACCAAGAATTAGAGACTTTACAGACTAATGGCCACTCTGGACCCTCTTCCAACCTGATCCAACTTCTTTCAGCATATCACGTTGAGGTAGACGGTGGCTGTGCATGCGCAACACATGTCAAAGACATCTCAGTCGACTAGGGTTCATGACCCACCCCATCAACTGACATACCTGTCTTGCCTAGTACCATTTGCCTGACTTCAGTATTGTTAACATTCTGATGCCATCATACATGAGGAACGCTTCAAATACACTTACGGCAGTTAACTCATTTTTTCCTTCATCATCGGTTAATTCAATCGTCATCAAGTGAATTACCTTTCGTATGTGTCACACATGTCAGTTTTTCACTTATTCTAATAGATAAGATGAGTAGAGTTGCTAAGAAGACTCAGTATAATTAGACACACTTGAAACAACTACTCTCACATTTTTCATCATATGTTTGAGTAAGTGGAAACTCCCTTCCTAAGGTCAGAATACTATCAGTATTAATGCATCCACTGTATCCTTCTTGAAACCCTGAAGAACTTTTTATTTTGTGCTTTATTCTTTATCTTCTCTTCATCTCCTTCGAATTTTCATTCAGATTTTGTCTCTTCTGTTTGTACAACTAAAAACTGTGAACATTTGAACTGATTGATTGGAGTATCCATATCCTACTTTATTTCCTACAGACCAGCAGAATTGTAATACACAGTTCAGTTAATTAGTACCTAGGTAGTCCTACTCACTGAAACCAAATCACAGCTTACTTGTACAGGTAAGAATTCGTTTTCAGCCTTATTTTATGATCAGTGAACAACTTTGAAGGTTTTCATTTGATTGTCTGAGACAGTCATAGTTTGGCAGGCTAGTCTTTATACTCTGCGATGATTGATACTTGGGGTTCCTTTCAGAGCTACTGGTAGGGCATATCGGTTACGTGATCTCTCAATGGTTTCTCCAGCACACTGACTGCTTGTTCCTCCTTCTTTTTGAATGAGATTTTTCGTTTTTACTGCTGTTATGAGTAACAAGCTGTTGGTTTGTCAAGTTATCAAATTTGTTCGGGATTTATTCTGTTTTCGACAAGTGTCAAATGGTGAGTTGAATGTTTTCCTCTATAATACTGGTTTTATTGCTCTTCTCATGTTTAATTTTGATCAAAAAGGATTGACTATCTCCAAGTGCATCACAAGAAGTGAAATAAAGATCTGGTCAGCAGTCGGACCTCGTGGCTCAGTTAGTAGAGCAGCGGATCCGAAAAGTGCGGTGGCAGCTGGTTTGAATTCAACCACAGTCCAAACTTTCATTTCACCTTCAACCATCGCCCAGTGTAAATACTGTGCTAGTTAGTTGGAGGCGATCTGCGGAAAAACGCCCGGATAACATGCTTTTTGGCACCCGTCAGCACGGCGTATCTGTAACCTCAAGGGAAGTGATGTCCTTCTTGAGGTCCCAACGAGCGTCACCCAATGTTGTAGTTACTGATGTCACCACTGATCTATTCTGACCGTGACTAACCTCCTGTAGGACTAAATTACATACGCTAATCGGTCACTGGAGGGCAACCAATTTCATCGTGTCTAGTTCTTAGCGCTGACCATATTCTGTCGACCATTTTTTGATGCGACCATAAAGCTAGGAGGCTGACTGTTGCGGTGCACTTGGTTGGAGGTAATCATGATTCAATATAATTCAGTCAGTACTCAGGGAATAGACAACAAAAACTATGTTATCGGTGAATAAAGACCAGTAGTAAATGCTAATGAAGTTGACTAGCGTAGTGATAAAACGTCTAAGAATAAACCCAAAGCTTGGAGAGTCCCAAATAATTATCATCCATATCCCAAGCTAAAAAGCTTCTCAACTAAAAGATTTCTAACAGTAATCCTTGGCCAATTGCCTACTTGAGCTAAAAACCATTAGAATAAAGGTAAATACTGACTTTCGGTTTGTGAAAACGACCAGGTAATCTGAGTCCACTTATAGTCATGATGTTTGCCTTTCACCATCGGGTCTTGTAGCTTAGTTGGTGGATTGCAGAACCATTGATGTAAGGGTCAGGTCGTGCAACAATCAAATTTTTTTCCAGCTCCAGTCTTCAAGTATGTATATCAAGTAGTTGCAAGTTTTTGATCACAGATGTCTTTGTGTCGCTGGTGGAACCCGGGTGAGAGGAATATCAACATTAGATACGGATCACTAGGCAACAGAGGTGTGTCGATCGACGAGGTTGTGAACCTGCATCTACTATAGTGGCTTCAAGATGCATTCCATATGCCGTACCACATACGACGGTAGCTGAGGTAGGACTGGGTTCGAAAAAAGCTAGGGGTTACCAAAACGATAAGTGGCACCAGTCAGCAAAGTCCTAAACTCTTGCTCTGAGTTCTGTAAGGAGGTGAAGTCTGCTTGGCCACCTGAGGTCTAAGAGACAATCGAAATTAATGATTACAAACTCATGGTAACGTGACTAGAAGTTAGTTACAATGGCACAGAAGTTTTGAGTGTCTTCATCTATCTGTTCTCTTTCCTTTCAACAATTACATCACTTTTCTTATCTAATTCCTCTTTGCGTGTTGTGGTGTGGTGTATCAATTTGAACCAGTGAGCATCTTTGAGAGGCTCCTCTTTGGTTCGTCTGTCTATTTACCATCTGTATAAGTTAATCTAACTGCCTAAGGTGTCTCAAACGGATTGGAATAAATCAAGTTCTTTTCTGCGTCTAAATTCCATGGGATTCTTTGTTGATTATGAAGTGTGCTAATTAATTTCGACATGTATCTAAGTAGATGGCCGAAGTGATTAGAAATTCATAAAAAACAAGAAGAGCTATTCTACTTGATTCTTATCAAATGCAGATATTCTTCTCTAATGCCTCCATGTCAGTGTCAAGAAGATACCATATCTGTTTGGTTATTATGTATGGATCTTGGAATCAACTCTTAATGCCAAACCTTGAATGAGACATATCTTCTAGTCTTCTGTAAAACAACTATGGTCAAAGTGTATGTACACTTTTGTGAGGTATTGCCTAACGTTGATTATAATCTTGATAGGAATGCTAAGTATGTTAGGTGTGCCTTTTTAGACTATACTTCGGTATTTGATTGTATCCCAAGACCTCTTTTACTGGACAAGCTACAAGGGACTAACACAGAATTCTGGATAATCAGCTGACTGTATTCATATTTCTGTGAAAGGAAACAATATACTATTCACAGACGGAAGCATTCCACTTAGTTGTGTACTTTGACTAGTGTTCCCCAAGGAGCCATCCTTTCCCTTGTCTTTCCTCTTTCATTCTGCATGACTTACCATCTTCAGCTAGCATCAATTTTATCAGTTATGCTGATGACTTCACAGTTTCCATACCTATCTCTTCTTCAACAGATTGTTTCAGCCGAAAGATTTCTTATCTACTACTGGACTATGTTCCTGCGTGAATGATCTAGTGCTTAATTCTTCAACATGTCCGACTATAAACTTTAGTTTCGGACGTGAACATAAGCTATGTAAACCACCTGGTTCCGTTGATGTTTGTTTTATTGACGTCTGTGTATTAAAAAATGTCACAAGTGTGATTTATCTCGGTGAGTGTTTTTCTTTGCACCTTTCCTGGTCCTCTCACATCTTGCAAATTTCCAAAAGAATCTTCCACTCAACTTAATATAGACGACTGTATCTTGCTTATTCTCCACTATTGTTCTTCTTTGTTCTTTCCTCGGTTGTTGAAAAAAAGTATGCTATATTGTGTATAAATTTGAAGATTCCCATCAGAAATTATGGTGTACCTCTAGGCCTTCTGATTGAAACCGTTCTGAACAAACATATTAACTCATGTAAGCATCTGGCAGGAGTTATTTCATCAGATAAACAACATCCTCTTCATTCAAAACCGTTTATGTCGGTCATCTGGAAAGATATAGAGGAAGTATATACGACTTTATTGAAGTATGACTGAATCTAAAATCTCTACAATACCGTATTTAGCTCATCTACTGTGCAATGCAGAAAGTATTACGAATGAACTAACTAACCAACTTTTGTTTTTTAAAACCGAACTAATTGATAAGTACACAGGTTGTTATTATTTATGTGTAGTATGAATCTAATCTGGGAACGAACCAACCAAGAACCTATCACGCAACAAATATGCAGGAGGAAGTGGAGATGAATTGGGCATGCACTGAGAAGGCCGACTGGGGACATCACGCGTCAGGCCAGGCACTCGAGTGGAATCCCCATGGGAAGCGACGAGTTGGACGTCAGAGGGTGACATGGAGGAGGTCGTGCGAGGAGGAAATGAGAGCTTCTGGGCTGTCGTGGAACCAGATTCAAAAGATCTCAGAGAACAGAGTGGAGTGGAGACGTGCTACTGAAGCCCTATGTTCCACTAGGAACCCAAGGGACTAATAATGATAAAAATAATAATGAATCTAATCGGTAATGTGACCGTCTACTTAAGTTAACTTTACATTTTCAAGAAATCTGTATATGGAGTAAATATTTCATATTGTTTATATATGCGATTCCTAATTATTCTATTTCATCATGTATATATGTACACTATTTCCGTCCAATTGATGCGATATGACATGCTGAAACTTTTATACAGTATTCTTGAAGTATCTTTCAGAATAAAGTCGTTATTATTATTATTATTATGCATGAGAGACATTGAAGGTTAGTTTACACCTAAAGTCTACACCTAAAGAAAATCAACATTTGTAGCACCATATCTATGATCTAAGCAAACAATGAATAGAAAACTGGAAAATGTAGGCAAACAGGAAGAATATTAATGAAACGACCAAATATATGATATGACGATACATGTTAGTAAAATGCTGAAAATTCAACTTCTAGGGAATTAAAAGTCTAGCAAAGTCAAACGTTTTTGATATCTAATTGGTTACAGTAAGCACCTTTGCCAAATATGGATTAAGATTTGTGGTCAAATACCACTCTAGTATGTTTATTAGAAATGTCACACACAGTGAAGGAACAGTAATATTTACTGGATAACAACGTTTCGGATACAATTTATTGTCTATATTCATATCAGGTAATTAACTCTACAACTTCAAGACAGAGTTTATACAATCCTAATTTTCTCTTTCTCTCTGTGATGACAAGTGTAGTAGAACTTTCCATCTATCTGGTATAAGTGAAGAATTATTGCTGTCGCATGTATTTGGTAATGATTCGATAAACAATCCAGGTTATCCCATTAGGCCTACAGTAGATTTTAGATCACACCAACTTACGAGTTGTCTAAATATTTAAAAATGGTGTTAGGCCCAATAAGAAATCACTCAAAATCTTGACTTACCAACTCTTATGACTTAAAGCACAGACTAGATGATAAACACTTAGATGACAATGAAAAAATGGCTAGTTTCGACATAACTAGCCTTTACACAAATTTACCGATCAACATGGCTCTGCAGACGGTTAGAAATGGGCTTAAAGATGACAAAGAGCTTAGGCATCGAACTCAGGTACCGATAGAGGAAATCATAGTAGGAGTACGATTATGCTTAACATCTACAGTTTTTAAGCTTCAAAATAAAATATATAAACAAACTGAAGGTGTTGTTATAAGATCACCAATATCCTCTATCGTCACTGACATATTCATGGGTAGATGAGAACAGATGGCCCTTCAAATGTTTAATCCTACTCCAAAGGTATGGTTCCGATATGTAGATGATACGTTTACAGCACTGAATTTGGAATGAATGCAACCCAATTTACCTGTGACTTCGAAAGTAATGAAGGGAAGCTGGCAATGTTAGATTACAAGATTAAACGAATACAAGACGGAAGTTTACAAACAAGTGTCTATAGGAAACCTTCGCATTCGAATTGCTACTTGGACTTCAACTCCTATCAACCCATCTCAGTTGAAGTAAGCTTAGTTATATGCCTAAGTGACAAGGCTAAAAGCCTTCTAGTGGACCAGAAAATCTACGACAAGAAGCTGGACACATCGAGAATACCCTACGTCTTAATAATTACTCACCAAAATTCAGAAATCTAAAGAAAAACATTAGCAATGGTATCAGTAGTAATACAGGCGTTATTAATAATAATTCCACTACTAATGGTAATAATGGCAACAGGGTTAGGAGAGAATTCAAAACCTCTACAGTACTACCATACAGAGAATACACCTCAGAAGAATTATGAAGAATTCCCAATGAGGCTGACTGGGATTCAAGTGGCATTTAAACCAAGAAACTCACTTAGAAACAAGCTTTGTAGGTTAAAAGATCCTATCGATGCAATTAAACAGAATAATCTGGTTTATCAGATCCCTTGCAATGATTCCTAGGTCAAGTACATAAGTCAAAGCAGTCGACCAGCCAGGGTCGATTAGAATAACAGAGCACAAAAACTTAGCTAAATCAAGATTAGTAGATCCTAATAAGATAAGAAATCTAGAGAAAAACTCGGCTATAGCTCTGCATGCGATGACACAATCATACAGTAAGGTGGGATAGGGCGATAGTGTTTAAAACTTAGTTAGTTAGGTGGAGGGAGAGACTGATGTTCACCTAATCAACACCAAATACATACAGTAATAGAAATGATTCTGCACCTGTCCCAGATATATGGAAAATTCTACTACACATGTCATCACAGAGAGAAAGAGAAAATTAGAATTGCATAAACTCTGTCTTGAAGTTGTAGAGTTAATTACCTGATATGAATATAGACAATAAATTGTGTCCGAAACGTTGTTATCCAGTAAATGTTACTGTTCCTTCACTGTGTGTGACATTTCTAATAAACAGACTAAAATGGAATAACAATCGACCACAGTGCCCAAGTTGTACTTCTTTATCGCCAGATACCTGTAACTTGCTTGCTATGGACTGAAATCGAGGACTAGCCGGAAACGCATATATATATATATATATATATATATATATATATATATATATATATATATATATATATATGCTTCTTTTTCAAGGCGTAGGAAACCTTAAGGGACTTCATATTTCCTTCATTTACTAAAGCCCGAGTCACTCACCACTGAAATCAGAGACAATACTGTTAGTCTATTCATAGCGAAGCTTCTTCAAGAAGACTGAATTATGTATACAAATTTATGACTTGTGGAAACATGATGTAGCTTTCAAATCCCAAGTTTACAACGTTTTAATTCACAGTAATGCATTGGTTGAAGATAACAGAACGATCTGATGTCATTCAAACTCAGTGAGTAGTTGATTTATTCTAGCATGAAACTCTTGAGAAGTGCCCACTCGTGACCCGATTGCTGGTCTGACCCACAATATCAGGGTTTCGAGACAGACAAGCTACCACTAAACCACTAGGTCGGAATCCAATGATCGCCATATAACACAATCACTCATCTTCTGTCTAAAAGGCAGCAAAATCTACAAAGTCTTTTATCGAATTATATTCTTCCACCCTTCTTATTGAAATAAGCTTTTGTTACATCACTATTTGATTGAAAGTTCACTTTTTCTAATATTGTAAAACAATGAATAGATGTTAAGGTATGTATATTCAGCAGATTATCTCATTTGTAATTCGATACATTCTTATTCTGATACACTGATCAAGCATATCATAACAGGAACTGGAATACTCCACAGTGAATAAAGACAAAGGTATGCTATCGTATACACACACACACACATACATAAATGTGTACACAAGTGCATGTAAACATAAGTTACTCTGATGAGTTTGATTTTTAGAATACGGGAGCAAATTTCATTATTATTCATTCAGAAAGATAGAATCTATCAACTTTACTGAGAAACTAAGAAGAAAACTGAGTGTAGAGGTGAGTGAGAAAAATTCCCAAACACTGGTCTTCACCAATTTTATGCATATAGGTATGTGCATCTATGTGTGTGTGTGTGTATATATATACATATGAAAGCGAGAGAGAGGGAGAGAGAGAGAGAGTGAACTATCAGGGTTATTGACCCTTAAACTTGAGAAATTCTGGGAGAACACAGAATTCTCATTTATTTACTGGTAGAATTGAGTTGACTGACTGCTGGTGCTGCTGCTAGTGTTGTTGTTGGTGGTGGTGGTGGTGGCCACGGTAAGTCATTAGCCTGCAGAACGGAAATATGAATAAATAAAACCCGTATACCCTTTTTAGGCATTAAGGAAACTGGCAACAATTTTACATTTCATAGAGCATATTTTTCTATTATATTTGAGATATGTTCACTTGTTGTACAAAAAATTTTTCTATCTGTAGAATTTATCATAATGAAATGGAATTTTTTACAATGACAATTATGAATATTATTTTTAAACGATTTTTATGAATCGATTAACATAGGCAAAAGCGTTACAACGCCACTGTACACTACAAATTTCACTAATGATTAATAATACTGGGCGATGATTAAGGGCGGACTGGAGTCCTGAGTTACGGCAGTGGCGTTCAAGTTAACAACTAGATATTGTACCACCCTGGGATATGGGACTACTTCTTAGATTTACTTCGGTACCAGAGGGTTTTTACGCAGCTGTCATGTGAGTAAATGAAACACAACTAACCCTTCATCAAAATCATACTGACTGTCCAGTCAGGTCTGCTCCGTTCAATTTTAAATCGAACTGAATTAGTAGAGTGTGAGAGCACATCTTCACTGCTAACATCACTATCTGAGATAGTCATGGATTGGAAGACTGCTGTTATTGCTAGTACGTGATTATTGTGGATAAAATGAACACCTAATCAACAGCTGTGTTACTTAGTTCAGTTGGCAAGGTGTCAGGCTGAAAGGTCTGAGGCTGCTCCTTCGAGTCATGCCGTGACCCAACTTTTCATTTCAATTTCAATCATCACACAGTATCAATGTGAAAGGTTTTCCAAACTATGGCTATCTCAAATAGCGTCCTCAATAAAAATTGCTGGCTTCAGTTGTTCTTTTGAGGTTAAGGGGGACACTAATTAGTACGCACCGATATGCTGTTTTAGACTGCTGAACACTCAAGAGTGAAGTGACTGAGTGCGTTGAACACTTCACTAACCTAAAAAGTTACATCAGCCCTGTTGCATTGGTCAGGGGCCGAAGAAGTCTCTGCATGAATAGAGAATGCTCGAATGGCTTTCTATAGCTTACATCATCTGAGGCGCTGCCGCCATATCCCATTGAGTATTAAGGGTCAACAATTCTGTGCTACCGTTGAGATTACAATTAGGAAGTTGAAAAATTATTTAGGTGTGGTAAGTATCAAGGTGGATAGTGCGGTTATACTCATGTATGAACTTACCATTGAGTTCGGTGTTTCTTATAAGCGACAATGCGGTAACCACATAGAGACCTATGTGTTACTGCAATATGTAGTAAATGTACTAGTGTTTGCATGTGTGTATGCGTGGAAAATCGAGGTGAGTGTGTTGTCGGTTAGGTGTATCAAATTTCAGATACTTAATGTATTGGTTCAAACCTAAGTGCTTTTTGCCCCCCAAACTGTATTCTCCATCCACCTTCATGTACAATTTTATCAAGGTAAACAAGCAATCTTGGAAAAAAAAGTCAAATTTAGTAACAATAATCTTTGTGATAAAGTAATCACTTACACTGAGGTCTCCACTGACTTGCAGCTAGTGCAGAATTAGTCTGCTTCGAGTAAAACGATAAATTTGTATAATCATAGTCACTCATATGTGGGAGATTGATTTCATTATCTGGTGTCATTTTCATCAATTTTGATCCATATTTTGTAGTTGATTCACTATCATTATTGCTATTTTGATGATAATTGTCGTCTGTTACCTTCATATGCAGTTTATGTAAATCGCTGTCGTTATGCTGAAGTAATTCATTGAAGTGTGATTTACTTAAATGATGCACTATGTCAATGCTATTTGGTGTATTCTCATGTGATGTAAAGATACTACTTAATTCCAAGTTATTCTTGAACAGACTTCCCTTCTGGGAAGGTTTACTTGGCTGAATATTGCAATCAGTTATACTTTTATTATCATTTCTAAAGTGATTGGTACTGAAACAACTACTACTACTACTATCATTAATGTTGTTGTTAGTAGTATTGAAACAAGAACGCTTTCGTTTGCTCAAGGAATTCAATTCTTTTGTATTACTGATCTGTTGATATGTTTGAATTGATAAACGCGGCTTATAAGTTGGATCATAATTATTAACTGAGCTATACTGTCGATTTGAGCGATGTGGTCGATTATTGTTCAAGTTATTGTTTTTACCTTCTCCTTTGTAATTCTCAGTTACACGATTATTGTACACCTCTGATGATGATGATGTTGAGGTAAGTGGCGGTGCAGTACCATCCGATTTTATCGTCATTTGTTCACTCATAGTTTGTGAGCAATTGTTGGTATCACAGAAATTGATAGGTGGTAGACGAAAAGATGGTGTAATATTGTTGAAAAGGCTTCCATGTGATTCACCAATATTCTCATCACTATTATTGCTACTATTGTTATTGTTTTGGCTGATACGATCAGACTGAGAGATTTTATAGGTTGACTGTTCATTGAATAATCCGCTTGGCAGAAAATCTTCAAATCTGTGATGTTGATATTTTTGTAAGGATAACAATCCTTTGGTATACTTCCTCGATGATGGTGACAAACGCATCAATGAAGACATTGATGATATGGCTTCATCACTGCATCTGGCTGGTGTCATCACCGTTGCTGGAACACTATTTGAGATGGTTGTCGTAAGACTTTCGGCTTTATTACAGGTAACAGTGGCAATAGGATTGTGTACAGCTGATGATGGTGGTAATGACGATGATAATGAAGACATAGAGATCAAAGAAGATGATGATAAGTCTGTTGATGATGAAACTGACTTTGAGGATGTTACCGGATAGTTGACTGCTGAAGTATTCATATTCATCCATGTCCATGGATCTAACTGTTGAAATGATTTCGATATATCAGTGCCGCTAACATTACTACTGATATAAAAACTAGTACTATTAGGATTAATAGTAGTATTGCTAGTAGTAGTAGTAGTAGAAGGAGGAGGAGGATGGTTGGCACTATATGAAAAAATCATATCCCTGTATGTAGGACTCACATTTACTAGTCGTTCAGTATTTGCATGTGGTAGAATATTATTGAAAATGTTGTTTGACACCTCTGTAGTCAATTGCAAGTGTGAATCAGACATCAGATTTGAGTGCGTATCACTTTGCATTGGAGCAGTACATGAAGGTATATAAAAGGTCTCCATCTGACTGTTGCTACTACTATTATTATTGAATGCAGTATTATACTGACCAACATGATTTGACGAGAACGGCAATAGTCCATAATTCATAAACTCTTGTAATGCTCTTGTATCTGGTTGCGGTGATTGTTGATGTTCTTGCAGATGTAATTGTTGAAGGTGATGGGAATGAGTTATAGAGGGAGGAGGAGGAGGAGGCGGTGGCGGAGTCGAAGAATACAACTGGTGATTAGACAGACTGTTGTTTTTTCCACAACGTGGTTTCTCATATAAATCTGTAGTAGCAGCAGAAGCTGCACTATTGTTGCTACTGAATGGAAACATCATAGGCCAATTTGCTGACTGCCGTGAATAGAGTAAATGAGCATCTGATATATTCATTTTCAAAGGTGCCTAACAAAAAGAAAGATCACCGAAAAATTAAACTTGAAGTCAGTATTGATAACACGGTTATAGAGCAGTAAAAGGATGTAATTCAATCGTTATATACACGCATTCATCTACTAGGGAGTAATTCGCTTATACATAGCTTAATGGTTGAATGGTCGCTTCTCACTTTAGGAAGAAAAAGTGGAAAATGTCATTAGGAGTAAGTGATTTGTGAAGGGAACTTGTCAGAAGTGATCATAGATCCCCATCGAGAATAACGGATGGTGCTACTCCTAGTCAAAATATACTACTAAACAACATGGGTAGATAAAGACCACTCACACTGATCTGTATATTTCACTATCCATGTGAATCAGAGTGATCTGAACAGCAACGGGCTGTTTCGCTCATTTGGTGGCCAGGCTCATCACCCGTGTACCCGGACACATTCAGCTCACAAAACCGAAGTTTTCAGACCAACTTAATCTAGCAAGCTAACTTAGATGAACCGGTACCTCAGTTCAGCGAAAAGATAGAAGTAGGAAGATGCGAATCTCTCGATGGTAACCAATTGAATTAACTGCGATTCTACACAACGGCACTAATGAGTAATATTGAAGAGTAGCAAACTAAGAAGAAAAAATCATCTGTCATCCTTATTATCTAACCTCCAAATATATTCCTTGAAATTCTTTGGGAAAAATTTGTCATCTGTAAAAACAGCCGAATCCAAAGTAGAAATGGGCATTTTCCAATGAAATTTCGTTTTCATAATGTTGTAGAAGTTGTTAGACAAACAAATGATATATGGATCTTGACCAGGCCCCTAGTGGTTATTGAATTCAGTCGAACAGTAAAGTTTATGCCAAGAAATTAATGAGTAAATGACCTTTCTTGTGTCTATTCGTAGGTTATGGATTGTAAATCTAATTGTAGACTGTATGATAGTCACAGTCCATTGGATAGATTTATCTGTAACCTTATGATGGCTCCAACCAGCCAGCCAGCCCGCCAGCCAGTCAGCCAGAGTTCCTTCTTGCTTATTCTTATTATTCTGGCCATCTCATCGATCTTCAGGGTCGAGTGAGGGTAGACGACAGCTGTTGATGTGGCGTATATCTGTGGTTTGTTGGAGATGCTTTTCGTAAGGCGTCAGGTCTCTAAACCATCACATAGAAGTACTGACCTGAGTGACATTAGTGTTGAAAATCTGGATGTTGTTCACGCTTTATGCAGAGTGTAGTGCAGTGGAGTGGAGTGGAGTGAAGTGGAGTGGAATAGATCTCCACACTGATTATTTCAGATTATTGAAGGAAGGTCTGTCTTGCTGTCTTTTCAACCATGGCTTTGACATCGTCATGTGTGCCTGTGGCGTCAGTAGTTGAAACGTTGCTGCCTGCCTAGGTAGGTGGGTAGGTAGGTACTTAGGTAGGTAGGTGAAAGAGACAACTTCTCTCTAATTTCTCTCTTTGATGGTGTTTGTTGTTTTTGCTGTTGTTGGTGGTTGAGTATCTTCACCACCTCTGTCTTGTCTGTGTTCACCTGAAGCAAGTCCCCTCCTCGCTGCCTCTTCTGACAACTTTTTGGTGATTACCACCTATAACAAACTGTAATTGGTGATTTAACGCAAAAGAAAGCACACATTTTAATGGCTTTTAAACTACCATTCCAGTAAGCACAATGCTTGGTTGTTCAGTCAAGAACTAGTAAATAATATTGTGAGCCGTTCAATTCACTTAATTGCAGAGATTCAATTTTTTCAACCAGGGTCTTTAGTTCGAGTGTTGAGATTGCCAAGACTCAGAGAGTAAGTAACCTTGGTGACCTTGTAAATGTCGTAATATATTGATTACCGTCTATCCACCCAGTGACTGCAAAGTAACATGCTGATGACATTACTGTAAGCGGGTTAAGTTACATATTATGAGGCCGTGGTTCATCCATCCAGGAAGTTAACTTCCAACTTCCATGGGTCATAGGTTTGAACCCCATTATACCTGCTGAGGCTTAGGTAGCCACTTAATGTGTTTCATTACCTTGTCCATGGATGTGCTCGTTATTGTTGAGAGAGTATTGTCGGTATTACGGAAATAGACAAACATGTGAAATTCCTATGTTGGATAAGGTTACAATTTTTTGTTCTTTTGTAAGAGTACATTATAGCACAGAGTCAGTTGGTCGACGATTTTTACGTTCACTTGATAAAATTTTGAGAATAATTATCACTGAGTAGTAGATTGTTTATAGTTTGAAAGTAGTGAGCCAAAGTATCGGGTTCGCATACTTAGTCTAGCATGTGGTTTACTATATATTATTCTAATACTGCTTAATCCCTCGTGAGGATTACTTGCAACAGAGCTGAGTAGTCAGTGGAGAAGGAGAAGAAGATTTCAAATGTGAATCTAAATGATGGTTTCTGATTATTACTATTTATGTGATTTTAATCTCTCCTTTTGATTGGATCGTTAGGGTGGCTATGTAGTAGCCATAACCCCAATAACCGCAGCTTCCCATCTTTCTGAATAAATTAGTCATGTTTAAAACGAGGGTATACGAGGATGGAAAGGAGCAGCTATCTACAAATAACAAACTCCAAGTAGGAGGGAGTCTGTGTCTAACTTTATAAACGACAAACAAGTAGTGCTTATGGAAGGCTGGGGGGAATTTTATAACGGAAAGTGACCTACCTAAAGATTATGCTTATTTCCTTACCAAAATATATATGCATGCTGTATGCGAGAATCTCAGAGAAGCATTTCTCTATTTAAAAACTTGAACTGCAACTAAAGTCATCATTTTTGATGTACAAAATTCAATCCAAAAGGAAACACACCATATAATGTTTTAAATTCGATTTACCTCATACTCATATTATCCACGCTTACTTATGCATGCTTAAATATAACACCTTTATTTACTATTGAAAAATAGGATCTCACAAACATAAAGCGCACAAATAGACAAATAATTATTTAGAGAACGGAGTAGAATAGATAATATTCAGTACTCTGGCAAAAATCAGTTATCTCAATTTGATGACTATGTTGTTATACCCATATACCTACTTGGACGTCGATGAAAGTATTTATCTTTCAATGACTGACTGATTGATTAGGTTTTAGGCATAAAATCATATTATTCTTAGGAGTGGATTAGAAATAATCTACTTTGGTTTTTTGAATAGATAAGTTGATTGAAGACAAAACTTAACTGCTAGAAGATTATGAGTTTGTAGACATTGAAATGACTGGAAATGAAATAAAGACTGAAGTATGGCTAAGTTGCCGGCAGGTTAAAGATGACACAGGCAAGAAATGTTATCATTTCCTGAAATCAGTTTTTCCTCTAGTTAGCTATGTAAAACTAATTACAGGATGTTTAATCCTACTTTTCAAGGTCATATCAATTAAAGGCTTGAAGCGGAAGCTTAAGAGATATGAATAACTACAGTAGATGGTTGTTTAAACTTATTAAGCGAAGCCAAACACTGGTATTTATTGAAACTATAGCGAAGGTAACAGGAATGAAACAATAAGTGGAACATTATGTAAAAACATCCCACAGACATCTAGCTTCTAATTGGTTGTTATCTGATGTCAAATTCACTACCACACGGAAGTATAGTGTCTGACTTTCACGATATCCAAAAAGAATATCAGTTTCTTTTAACAAAGAAAGATAGGTACGCTTAGTTAGCTCAGACCAAAGATCAATAAAAGAACGATAACGACTCAAAACAAATCCCTTAAGAGTGAATGAATCTACTCTGCATCTTTTAGATCTCCCCATTCCACACTGTAGACAGGTTTTCTGTCTCGTCCGCAGGTAACAAGCATTTTGCAGCATACACTGTTTTTTGTCGTATTCTCTTCATCTGCTTACAGGGTACTAATAGTAGTCAAGTAATAAATAAATAAAGATTGACACAGTTTATAATTTGAAGTCAATAATTCATTAGTGAGCAATAGAATGGCTTAAAGTTATGATTGCCAAGGAAGGAAAGAAAATGGGTTGGATAGAGAGACAAAGACAACAGAAAACTGTAAGTTTCTCTAGCAATTTAAGTGTAGACTAATATTTCTGGCCTTTTGAATATGAAGATAACATTCTACCCTTCGAATTGAGGTAGCTTTTAACAAAATGAAGCGAAGTTGACTACTGATTTTCAAGGCATTTTTAATGTCAGTATTACTTACAGTTTTCAGGCATTGAGGAACAATTGAGTTGGTGACACCCTTTCATCTTCAAGACATAGGTAGTCCATAAAGGTGTTAAAGGGAAAGAACGGGTGTAACTTGGCTGACTGTCCTCCATCATGACCTACTCTGCCAAGTAAATATTTACAAACATACTACTAATAAACAAAGTGAGTAGTTAGAAACCACTCATGCTGATCAGTAGATTTCCGTTAGCCAAATCAAAGAGATCTGTCTAAACATCGGACAGCACTTTCATACGTTTTAGTTCAAGCTGATCATCGGTGTGCCTGAAGAAACACAGCTCAAAGCACTGAATCGTTTCAGATCACTTGAATCTACTTGGCTAGCTGATTTGCATGGACAGATATTCTTAAAATTGCGTGGTTCAAGTTGGCATTTCTCACACAGCTGAATAGTCTGGCGAAATCTATACATACACTTGAGTGGGTATTAACTACTCATGCTGCTCAGTAGTAGTATATTTTGCTAGCTCATGACACTTGCATAACGAGGAATTAATTGAATAACTCAGCCTCTGAATGCACATATCGAGATGAATAGATATACAAGAGATCTACTGAATCTCACGTTGTCCAATCCTGAGTGCTGATCGAATTCCGTCGATTATTTTGTAATTCGACCAACAAGCTAGGATGCACATCATTGTGGCCAACTTCAATGGATTTTAGTTAGTTGTAGGTAGTCAGAAGGCCTTTGACAGCGTCGAACGAGAAGTAATTTGACAGGCAGTTGCTTCAACACTACTGAACACCACAAACATTCATCAGTCTCATTCAACAGCAGCTATATGAAGACACCACATGTCAAGTAATTCACAATGGGAAGCTCAGTGATGCTTTTGAAGTGAAGACAGGGGACAGGAGTAAAACAAGGCTGTCCACTATCACCCATGATATTCCTGATTGTGGTCTACTCGACTGGATCATGCAGCAGACAACAGTGAGGAGCGAGAAGAGGGGCATACACTGGCTGGACCGAGGTAATGATCCTAGAAGATTTTGATTTCGCCGACGATTTATGTTTAATGTTGCACAAACTCGAGGGTCTACAGGCGAAAATTAACAAGTTGACAGAAGAGGTAAAACAGGGCAGGGCAGGGCAGGACAGGGTAGCGATGAAGGGGACTTACTTCAGGTAAATGTAGAGAAGACAGAGGTGATGAGGATACCCAACCAACAAGGAGAAGAAGAAGAAGAAGAAGAAGAAGAAGAAGAAGAAGAAGCTGCAATCACCATGAACGGGAGAAACGTAAAGGGAGTATCCTCTTTCACCTATCCAAGCAGCATCGTTTCAATCACAGGCGGTGGCACAGACGGGGATGTGAAAGCAGCCAGGATCGGAAAAGCAAGAGAGGCGTTTATTAGCCTGAAACCAGTGTGGAGATCTACTGCACTGCACTGCACTTACCATAAAGTGTGAACAACATCCGGATTTTCAACACCAATTCAGTCAAGTCGGTACTTCTAAATGGTTCAGAAACTTGGTGAGTTACGAAAGGGATTTCCAACAAACTACAGACATGCATCAACAACTGCCCACACTAGTTCGTTACTGAAGATCAGATGGCCAGAATTGTAAGAATAAGCGTGAAGGAACTCTGGCCTGCCAACGAACAGGTCAAGAACCTATCTGTCAACGAATATGCGGTATAAAGTGGAAGTGTAGATGGATTGGATTTGGCATACAGAGAGCAGGCCGACTGGTGACATCAGGCGTCAGGTCATGCCAGATCGTCGAGTGGAACCCAGATGGGGAGTGACGAGTTGGTTGTCCGATGTGAGGGTGAGATGGAGAAGATCGTGAGAGAGCTTGTGGGCTGTCGTGGAGCGATGTTCGAAAGATTGTAGAGAACAGAGTGCACTGATGCCCTCTCTTCCATTCGGAACCCGAGGGACATATAATAAAAATAATAATAGTAAGGTAGTCAGAAGGTTTCGTGCTTTTTGGAACTCATCGACAAGGCGTATCTGGAACCCCGATGGAATTGATGATAAGATCATACCAAACTGGTTGCTCTCCAGTGACCAATCGGTGTATTCAGTTCTCTCCTGCAAGAGTTTATTTGCGGGATGGAAACTCACAGGGGACATGAGATCCCACGAGGTGCACATACGCTTTATTGACGAGTACCAAAAAGCACAAAACAGAGGTGGAGGAGATTTTTCTGCTAGCTACATTCAACCAACTAACTAACATACAGGGAATTTCTTTCAGTCATAGAACTTTCTCTGATAATTCCTGTACGTCAGAAGTGATTTTCATTTCAGTATATTTTCATATTACAGAAATCATTGTGTATCATGAATTTGAGTGTTAACATTACAAAATGACAGCATGTTTTAGCTGGCCAAGTGCACGTGTGTGTTTTTGCACGTTCAATGTGTCAGTCACAACGTCGTTTTTCGTATTCAGAATTAATCGTCAACGTCACATGAATAAAGCTCTCAGGAAGTTCCAAAAGTATATCCACTGAATATATTTTTTTAAAACACCATCAGTTTATCAGGTAATTTGTTTAAAATCACCCTCATTCAAAACTGTTACATTTTACAATTTATTTTAATTGGAAAATTTAAAGTGGGAAAGTTAAATTTAACAGTTCAGATAATCATATTTCATTATCGCCTCATTTGTTTCGATTTATAAGAGTGTATAATTTAGAGTATTTCTTTTGTCTCTTAAAAAAAGTAAAAAGGGGAAAGAGATCTTGTAACAGAATTCTATTGATAAGTATTTTACACTTCTGCGCTTATGCCTTGTCATAACGTATAGGTAACCAGGCATGAATGCATACAAACAAATATGAAGCATTCAATATTCAATATAAAAATAACCTTGAGACTTACCTTACAAGTTATTTTCTTATTTCTCCTGGTGATATCACGATTACTATTGGTGTTGTTGATATTACTACCAATACTATTGCCACTATAGTCAATAGTATAGCCACTGGTGATGAAGAAAGTGAAGCGTTGAAGCGGAAATCGTCAGTAGACAACAGTTCTTGTAGTAGTAGTACAATATAATATCCGAAAAACCAAAATGAACACAATCGTATGACACAACTATGTGTTGCTTTGTTGTGTGTATGTGTGTGCGTGTGTGGTGCGTGTAGATACAGATACGTCTGTGTATTACCAGTACTGGTGGTAGTTAGTCAAATGTAATCTTGTTTATTTCAATCACTGACCGGATATAGATCGTTACAATACACTAATCAAATCGGGCGGAACGAATCCCAGTATTATCTTCATGTAGTTGAGTGAAGAGAGAAAAAAGGTAAAACGAAAAAGTATTGTAGAATTTTTGAATCCAGATCTTTGAGGTAAGTAAGCCGGAAAAGTTGTTATGTCTTTTTCACTGTAAAATGAGTTGCTTTTTTTTCCTTCCTCCTTTCTCTTTCTCTCTCTCTCTCTGTGTCTGTTTTTCCCTGCTAAAAAGTAGAACGGAACAGGAATCCAAGTCTAGACGGTGCTTCATTGAACATTGAAGCGAAGTTGAACACAAATTTCCTTCCGTTAGTTAACATTAGTTTGAAGGATTTCTCCTCTTTCTTTTTCTCTCGCTCAATATACACACACGATTATTGTGATTAGTATTATAATAATAATTATTATTATTATTATCGTTATAGTTGTGTTATGGAGTGCTTCCACATTCAGGAAGATCAAGAATCTGTTCTGTGTATGCAAAATCTATCAACTTCCTTCCGTCCAACAAAGACAGTGATTTCTAATATATAATATGAGCTTAGTGATTACAGAAGTGGAACTTACAGTTTCCGCCCTAAATAATAAAGTGCGATTGGATAAAATGCATGAATACTCACAAGCTTGAATTTATCAGAAAGAATAGAGATATTTGTGTTCTCTTACATAGGCACACACAAACACACAGACTTTCATACATCACAACGCACGTCAACGACTATTTCCCCTTCCTAGATAAGATAATCTAGTTTTTGAAAGGACAAAACTGACTCCTACTATGTTTTACGACAAAAAAAACAAACAACTAACACACATACAGAGTATTCTAGTTCTTAAAGTGATGAAATCTCCTGCCTCCCCCGCTTTCCCTATCTTTCAGTAATCTAAGGCAGAAGAAACTCAATTGTTGATTGGCTGGTTTGAGTTTGGAGTCTATTCTCACCATTTCCGTTCCTATACATTATAACAATTCTCATATTTGCTTCCCGTCAACCAATCAGCTAAATATTTCAGATAGACTGTTACCAGGACTAGTATAAGCATTTTTATTCACAATGTCACAGTTCATTTGTGTTCAATCCTCCCTTATTGTCAAATTGTATATTCTTAAACCCTTCGATGCATCATGAAAGCCTAAAATTGAGTCTGAGGGATAGAAACCTAGATCTAAAGAGTGAGGGATTAGTTGAGTTCACATTAAGGGAAGTCAATTAACTTCCAGAGAATCTCGATTCATTTATCGACTGAATAAGGATGTTAGATGAATCTGTCTACCTCCCACCCCTGACTACCTTTCCCACGTGTATAGATTGTAGTTTATTTTAAATGCAAAAGTTTTGCAATATAATTTACAATAATCAATAATTACTAAATCGATTTATATTATTTTATGTTTAAGTGAGATATAAAGAAAGTAAGCCAGCCAGCCAATCAGTCAATCCTACTTCTATTCAGCCAGCAGTTCAATGTTCAATGATATTTATTTCAGTGATGAATGTACAATCAATTTTTAACTAAACTATTACGAGGTAAATAAATTTTATTCATAAAAAGTTAAGAAGTTACTGTTGACATTATTATTACCAGTATTATTATTATTATTATTACACAATTGTCCTAATTAGATGACCATATAATGTAGTAATAATAATGATTTGTTTGATCAGTTAAAACAAATGAAATGTCAAACTTTTATTGAACTGTTGCTTTACTAAGGCGATGATTACTAAAAAAAACCTTATACAGATACCTTTATGCAAATTAATTGGAAATTAAATTAATGCATATGGCGGCCTGTTTAAACCTTGAAGTACTACGAATTTTCCACCGTATATATTACTTCAAATGACTCCTTTTCACTTTGTTTTAATTATTCATATATCCTAAAATATTATTATTTACTATCATGTATTTTTGAAATCCTTTGGAACCTACCATTTTGCAAATTAGTAGTAAAATGAAGAGAAAGTATCCTGGTAGACAGGAATCGGCCCCTAAACGCACCGCAATTTACCATATTATCATTTCTGAAATAATTAACTCGAAATGAAGATTTCTAAGCTGGCCGAATGAACCGCCACCATCACAACTACCAAAAACTTCACGTGCTTTTATTCCCCGTCTGTAACAGCACAGTTACAGGTCAAATGATATTCTAGTAACAACTGATCGTTAGTTACATCTTATCTCCCAATAATACGGTTACTTTTAACATTACTGAGGTGCTGTAACTATTTAACTGTAAATTATTTTACAGGTAGTAAATTTGCTGAAATATTGCATACTGAGAATTCCATACTGTGTCTGGAGTAAAGTGATCAATATTCTTAGTAGTGTGAGTAGTAGTAGTAGTAGTGGTAAAACATGGTTTCTTATTACTGAGTTCCCGCTAGCTAGTCTTATCTTATTAGTCCGTATATTATGTCTATGTTCACGTGTCTGTTGATTGCCGTTTGAGTGACAGACCATACTTTCAGGATCTCTCTGGGACTCTGTATGCTTGTTTGTTGTGATATTTTCATGTTCTCTTAATCGACGTTTTGGTTGTGCCCATCTATATGTATCAACATCCCTATGCTTACTTTTGCTTTCATCAACAGTAGACACATCGGTTAGTTGGCTTCCCGAAAGCTTTTACCAACAGGCTTCATTTCGTCTCCCTGATACCAGCGAAGAATATGTTTATTTTTTATATTTCCTCTATGCTTTGAAGTTTTTTTAGCGATTGCACTGGTTTTCCGGAGTAGGGTCACTAACTCCACATCCAACCTTCCCTTTTTGTCCAGGCTTAGGACTGGCTAGTAAACTAAGAGAGGTTTTGTATCGACATCAGTGGTTGTTGTTTACTGCCATTTGATGCTCATAAATTCTTCAGCCTATTCGACAACTGGTTTGACCAACATAGTAATGTTGGCAGTCACTGCAACTAATTTCGTAGATTATATTTATCTTGTCTTCTTTTGGTAATGGAATAATTTAGGTGGCATAAGATGTTCATGCCATCCCAAGGAGGAGCTAAAAAGGAACGAAAATCTACGTCTTAGCAGGATTCGGACCATCACCCTTCGAATTCGTTACCTAGTACGCTGTAGTCGAATCTGATATCTATTCAGTTTCACTGAAATGGAGAACTGAATCACATTTTCATGTTGTCCTTTGTTTAGTGATTAGTCGGAGCGAGAACCTGGAGACAGCTAGTCCCACTTTTGTCATGCCTCAGATTTCTTCCTATTTTAGTCATAATCCCCTTTTAAAGAATTCCCATTGTGACATAAACAACCGGTAGGAATCAGACGGTAAGGGAAGCAATTTTCGTTTTAGCAGAACCAAGCAGTTGAAATAAAGTGTTTCGTATTTTTAGACATCTTTTAGGTATACTACTGAACAACTGAATATTGATAAGTGGTTACTGTTCGCCGCTGAATGTGTCAGATGGTTAATTTCAGCAAAAGATGCAAACAAAACCTATGTGAGCTAATTCGATTCCAAGAGTCTTGTCTAAGTGATGACTCTACTGTACAGGGTGTATAAAGTGTGATCCATCTCGCCTTATACATTTCTTCTGATTTTTCTTCGTCCCTTATTATTCTGGTTGCCAGGGAAATCCTTTGCTTGACTTTTTGTCTAAGGAAACTCAGGCAGTCTGGTACAACTTAGCCTCTAACCTTACGTCTTGTTAACTCGTGTGTTTTGACTAAACTTACTTATTGTTCCAGCCTTATTCTTTCATGGACTCCGGAAAAAGGACTACGTTGTATTACGTTAGGGTTTTGAAGGTAGTTATTAGAGTAAGTGGTACACCGCTAACCGTCTTGATAAATGCGGTTGTCGATAGGCATGTGAAATCTTATAGACTGCCGACTATAAATATTTCATCTCATGACGATGATTTTCTGTACTGGACTGGTGCATCCAATAAACTGTGAGGAACGAGATGACCGGTTAAAAGATCCTATAACATTTGGAATTCGCCCATGACGTTTCATGTCTAATGTCTTGTCGCACAAACTAGAAGATCTATATGTGAATACTAACAAATTGACAGAAAAGGCGAAGCAGCGAAGATGGGACTTGCTTCAGCTGAACGTAGAGAAGACAGAGGCGATAAAGATACCCAACCAACAACAACAACAAGCACCAACCACCATCAACGAAAGAAATGAAAAGGAAGATGCCTCTTTCACTAATCTACCTTTTACTAATCTACCTACCTACCTACCTACCACCCTACACCTGCCTATCTACATAGGCAGCATCTTTTCAACTACAGACGGCACAGGCACACATGATGATGTCACAGTTAGGATCGTGAAGATAACAACACAGGTCTTCCTTAATTAGTCTGAAATCAGTGTGAAGATCTACTGTACTCAGCATAAAGCGTGAACAACATCCAGATTTTCAACACTAATGTCACTCAAGTCAGTACTTCTATGTGATGGTTGAGAGACTTAACACCTTACCGAAAGCATTTCCAACAAACTACAGACATATACCACATTAACAGCTGTCACCTACTCTCACTCGACCCTGAAGATCGATGAGATGGCTAGAATAATAACAATGAGCAAGAAGGAACTCTGGTTGGCAGCGAACTAACCAAGAAGCTATCGCCCAACAAATATGCAGAAGGAAGTGGAGATGGATTTGATTTGATTGGACTGGACTTGACTGGACTTGACATAGACTGAGAGGTCGATTTGGGGACATCACGCGTCAGACCAGGCCAGATCGTCGAGTGGGAGCTAGATGGGAAAGGACGAGTTGGGTGTCCGAGGCGAAGGTGACGTGGAGGAGATGGTGTGAGGAAGAAATGAAAGATTGTTGGGTGTGGTGGAGCCAGATTGTAAAGAAGACTGTAGAGAAGTGATTGGAATGGTGACTTGCTACTGGGGCTTAATTTTCCACTAGGAATCCAGAGGACATATAATAGTCATAATAATGATAATAATAGTAATTATTAGTTTTCCTAGTTATATCAATTGTCTTGCAGTTTGAGGTTCATAAGTTCCATTTTTTGGATAGTATCCATCACTAAGCGACATCATTTGGAGAACCACTGAAAACATGGGAACACTTTACGGTTGTTTCGTTTGATTTTAGGACTCCTCAGGAATACGCACCGAAGATCCTGTCAGGAGTCAAACTCAGTACCATCAGGTCTCCCTGGCGATGAACGTTCTTATCATTTATCCAATGAATTGAAGTTCAATGTTTCACAGTTTTCATACTTCTATCAATTTGCTAACATTGACAGTCATTGAGAAAAAACAGTAATCTTGTTATGAAAGCTAATCACCTTGAGAAATTCTTTCATTCTAAAGTAGTCAAAAAACTGTTACACTAGTAGGATTTTGAGATAATGAAGAATACGTGAATCTCAAAGGGATAATTTGTAGATTATACGTTTATCTACTTTCGTAGCAACTAACAACTTAGATTGTTAAATTCTCTTCTTAGTTAAACTGCGTCAAACATTATTAGATTTGTGAGCTAACAGTAGTTGAAAATATGGAGCATTGG